CCGAAGTCTGAAGCAAGACACTCCCCTGTTCTCCCTCTTCAACGTGCAGCCTTCTCACCGGTTCTCATCCACCCCATTCTTAGGATTTAATTCTCAAGTCTAAGGCAGGAAGTATTTTTACTGTTTGCAGTTTAAAAATCGAGAGCTCTAAATAATTCCCTAAAGGGATTTTTGAAAGCCTTAAAGACATACGCTTTGTAGCATTGTTTAAAATAAATCTGAATCCTGGACTGGATGCTAGACATTGCATACAGCCTACAAGCCTGACCAGAGGACAAGGGTGAGTCAGCTATGGTACATCCTCCAGTGGAGTGAGGAAGCCAACACGGGGCTGGGCAGGAACCAGTGCTCCATAAACAGAGGCCACTGTCACCATTATCATTGTGCAGCCATGAAAACATTTAGACAAAATGTAAAATAGTCAGAAAAGGCTTAAAATGAGATACTAAGCAAAAGAGCAATACATCTAATGCTGTTTATACTACAGTCATTACATTAAATCGGCACAAGAAACTAAAGGAAATTAACCAAAATTCTTAATAGGTATTGTCTGAGGTTGGGTAAGATTGTAGGGTGCATGATTTTCTTCTTTTTTTGCATTTTCCAAAGTTTCTATAATACGTATGTGTTACTTTTAAATTTTTTATTGAAGTATAACACACACAGAAAAGTGCACAAAAAGTAAATGTCCTGCTCAGTTGTCACAGAGCAAAGTCTATGCAACCACCATCCTGATCAAGAATCAGGACATAACGTCCCAGGAGCCCCTCCTTACCCTCCCAATCCCCTACCACCTCCCCGTCTCCAAAGGCAACCGGTATCCTGACTTCTAACTCTGTAGTTCAGTATGACCTGTTTTTGAACTTTGTACATGAAATCATAGCGCATGTATTGTTTGTTCCTGGCGTCTTTCACTCAACATTGTGTTTGTGAAGTTCAGCTATAGTCATTTATTTTTATCTCTGTGTAGTAATTCATTTTATATCTACATAATGTTATCTATCATCTATCTATCTATCTATCTATCTATCTATCTATCTATCTATCTATCTATCTATCTACCTGGAGTAGATCACTACATATATATCTCACATATATACCAGGGGTGCCACTTTGGTCAATGTCGTTCAAGCCGTATAGTTCACTGTAATCAGAAATGTCCGGACACTGATGGTAACCACTTTGAGCACCTCTTGTAATTGCAGAAGTCAAATGTAACTTGTATTCATCTTTTGTTATCGGTATATACTGAGTATTATAATTTTAATACAGTTTTCCTGTCTTAAAATGTGTATACATTTTTTTGGCACCCTTGGTATATCTCACCAAGACAATTCTTATGTCTATTCCACCTTTGATAGACATTAAGTTGTTTTCACTTTTACAAAGAATGTATCTGTGAGATTCTTATGCATGTCTCTTGATGCATATGTGCATGAATTTCTGTTAGATATAAACCTAGGCGTGAAATTGCTAGGTCATAGGGTGGGCATATATTCAATTTCCGTAGATAATAACAACTGTTATTCAAAGTGGCTGTGCCAAAGTATGTACCCATTGAAGTGGGAGAGTTCCCAGTGCCCCATACCCTTCCCAACACTTGGTATTGCCTGACTTTCTAACTTTGGCCAATCTGGCAGTGTAGGGTGATAGCTCATTGTGTTTTTAAGTATTCCTTTTTAATTTAAATGATGAAAAGAAGTAACTTTTTAAAAGTAGGATGCATCTTGCTATCACTAGTGATTTGTCCGTTCTCTGCACCATAGCAAGCACTGAAAATGTTTGAAGAAGCAATAAAAGACCAAATGAATGCTTGATTTCAATGCTTCTTAATCCCTAAGTGTGTACCTATAACATAGCGTCTATCTTTGATAGGCCTGGGAAATTTCAGCGAAATGCATTTCAGGCATAACAGAGGCTTTGAGAAACAGGGAGATGTTTCTTAAAAAAAAAAAGAATACCTTGGGGTTAGGATGGTAATCTCTCCTTTTCTTCTATCTACACCCCCTCCTGACTTAAGTTGTGGCCCCACCGGCTCCTGAAGCGTGTCCTTGTCTGTGTGTCTCTTCCAGGAACGAAGATCTGATCAGCAAGTGTGGCGACGATGCCCGTGTCTACATCATGTTCCAGTATCATCTCATCATCTTTGTGCTCATTCTCTGCATTCCCTCCTTGGGCATCATTCTGCCCATCAACTACACGGGGACCGTGCTGGGTAGGCAGAGCTCAGCGGGCCCTGGGCTCTCATTAGACCTGAGAGGCAGCCTAGTAGACAGGACAGAGCTTGGGTCTTTGATGTCTAGACATCTACGTTTTAATTCTGTTTCTCAAAATTAGTTACATGACCTAAGGCAACTCACACTTTAGGTCTCTCACTGGTGACTGGAGATGGTATCTCCTTCATCACAAGTTCGGCCCAGAGCCTGGCATCTAGCAGGCAGTAGTAGTAATTCAGGATTATTCATGATCCCACACCACACCTGGCCAGGTGTTCCTGGAGGCCCCTTTATGATGTCTGACCCACTGCAAAGATCCCTAAACCTGATTTCTCCCTGTACCTACTCTGATGGACACAGACCATAGGGCAAAATTTGTCTCATAAGACAGCTACCTACACTTGTTATAACAGGCTAAGTCCTTTTGACAAAATAACATCATGGGTGAGGGCTTGGGCCTCAAAGACAGAAAAATCTTGGTTCCCCAACTTTTACCCACATCTGCTTCTCAGAAAATATCTTTGCCCTACTAGCAAATGATTTAATCTTATATTCAGTAAAGCCTCGGTTTTCCCAACTGTCACGGGGAGTGAGAGATAATGCGTGTTGAGGGCCTGGCACAGTACCTGATGTAGTAGGTACTCAGTGAACAACAGCCAGAATTTCTCTAAGAAATAGGAGACGGACAGAGCTGCATGAAGGCTGTACACCTATGTGGTGTAGAATAGCGCCTGAAATGCCCAGGTGCAGCCAGCTTTACCTTGATTGCTCAGGTTTCTACTTATTTTGACCTCAGTTAACTCAACGTGGCACACAGTGTCCATGCCACCAGATGCCACCACCAGAGCACAACAACTTCTGACCCTGTCTTTCCAGACCCTCACCCTAAGCTAGTGTGCTGGCAATGACGACATAATGCAGGATTTCTAGGCATGTTTTACAAAACCTGGAGATGTCTACACTGACAAACTAATACACTTAGCTGGAGGATTTACTCTGAGTAAGGAAGCATCACATTTTCTGGAGTTCCAGGTTTTTGTGATTGTTTTCAGTGGTAACAGCATTGCTAATTTCATCATTCCACTCAGCAAGCATTGACCGTGTGTCAATCACGTGTCAGTCGTGCACTAGTGATGCCACACTGAGACTCGGGCTTGCTTCATTGCCAAGGAGCCCCAGTCAGCAGACCCAGGGAGAAGACGAGGCCTCTGCTGTTTTTGTTGGAAGCTGGGGCCAAGCTCTGGGGAGCTAGAAGGAAGGGCAAGTCGTAGGCAAGCCCAGACACTCGTTTGAGAACCTTGAATCCTGGCATCTCACAGCAATCAAAGAACCAGGCTTCAAGTCAGCAACTTTCTTCTCTTTCAGACCGGAATAGTCACTTTGGTCGAACCACCATTGTCAATGTCTCCACAGAGTAGGTACCTGATCATCTTACCTCCCATTCTAATGTCTGAGGGTGTTGGTGGGGAGAGAAAGTTCAACGTGTGGGTCCGTACTGTGGGCACTGCTTTGCTGTTAAGAAAAGCCTGATTTCCTTGGGAACCTGTGTCCTATATGGGATGTCAGAAGTTGTATTCTCTTGGTGGGCCAGGATTCTTGGTGCCTCCGAGTCTCCTAAAATGGGTATCTTGGTGCAGTGTCTCTATAATGAGTGGAACTACCCAAGCCAGACACTCCTGAAGACTTGGAGAGATGGTCCTATTTGCTTAGTATGTCCAGTTCCTAACAGGCAAAGACCCTATAGTGAGTAGAGGTTTAGGGTATTGCTTCCTTGCCCACAAAATAGGCCCGGGTCAACCCTCATATAATCGAGGGATACATAAAACTGATTCCCACAATGGAAGGATGGAGAAATCACATGACCTGGGTCCATGCCCCACCTCTGCCATTAGCTGGCCCTGGGTCTAGGACAGTGCATCCATCCCCTCTGAGCTTCACTCCTAGTCTGTGGTGGGGGGAGGGCTGTTTTACATGATCGCTAAGCCCCCTCCAGCCTTCATGGTCCAGGAACCACGGATTTTACCATCAGCCAACCCAATGCGTGGTCAAATCAATTTGTACTGAGCTAGATGAGTCCCTGCTGGTTCATGTTGAGAAAATAGACCCACTAGATGTCTTGGCCACGCTTGACCAACTTCCTGACAAAGCAGAAGCACCAGTTCCAGCAGGTGTGAGTGGGGGTTCATACACACATGCCCCACCCCCCTCTGTCCCTGCACCCTGCAATCCATCAAACCCCGAAATCAACAGAATGGGGCTGCAGCTTCCTCTCACCTCTCCTGTCAGCCAGTTCCTCCCAGAGTGCTGCCAACACCAGAGCAGAGCTTACCAGCTTCTCCCAGGCCTCCACTGGTTTGAGGTGCCTACACCTTCCCAACAAGAAGTGAATTTTAATTAGGCAGCAAAAAGCCATCAAGGTTCATAAATCCATACCGGAACGTTCCTTAGAGACCACGTGACCTTGCCCCCTCTGAGGAAACTGAAGACCGAGGCGGCCAGCTAGATGGGGAATGTTAGGCGAAATGTCAGGCACTGGGACAAGTGGTGAGGAGATACTTTGAAGCAAGGCAGCCTTTCTCTCCTCAAGCCACACCAGATGAGCTAGGCCCTGTTTCTGAGCAGTCATCCTGGCCAGATGCCTTGGAACAGTATTACATGAGCCCGAAGCCCAAGTGCCACCACTCTTCTTACCAGGGGAGGTGTAGCAAATCCACTGGGGCCACCTCCTTCCTCCAAATCCTTCCTCCCGCCCTGGTAGGACCCCAAAGTCCCTCATCACAGTGGTCGGGCAGCCCTTCCGTTTGGCCTGCTGGGCAGCTGTGGGGGTCTGGACTGCAGCCACTAACAGTACAACATAGCGATGGGGAGTCTCTGGGCTCACCCCCCAGCGCTGCCACTGCTAGGAGTGACCTCAAGCAGATCACCTACCACTCTGGCCCTCAGTTCCCTAGGGGTAAAAGGAAGACAGTTAACAGGACCATCCTCACGTGGTGTGAGAGTCTAGTGAGAAAATGTGTGTAAAGTACCTCGTCCCGCCCTGGGGCTGGCATATAGTAAGCATTCAATAAATGTTAGCCTTAATTAGCCATCTCACCACTGCCATCCCTTCCAAGGTGCCTGGGTGTCTGGAAGCACTAGAGGGTGGTCTGAGGGAGAGGGGGCTTGGGGGGAGACTGTGTGTGTGTGTGGGAGAGGGGGCCTCACCCTGCTGTGTCTCGCTCCTGGCAGGAGTAACATCCTGTGGCTGCATGGCTTCTTCTCCTTCCTCTACTTCATCACCAACCTCATCTTCATGGCTCATCACTGCTTAGGGTTTGTGCCCAAGAACTTGAACTCCAAGGTGAGTAAGTCAAAAGAGCTCCCAGAACTGCTCCCTCCCAGCTGGAGCCCCTCTGCAGCGGGACCTTCCCACGCCCAGCCTCAGAGGCTCCCCAGCGGAGCACATTTTGCACACCTGTGAGGAGCGGTCTCCCCTGAGCAGAGAAGCTTCCTCCCCTTAGCCCTGTGATTCATCGCCTAGCACCCCTGCACGGCCATCCCAGTTACTAAACCACTGAGTCATTTCCAAACTGGTTGGTAAATAGCTGTTCCCAGGTGCCTCCTACCCTTGCGCTCCTGCTGCCCTGTCCCCTCTCCGAGGGCCCCTGGACCTCCTTACCCTCCAAAAGCTCAAGGGTTAAGAAACTCCTGAACCAGCAGGATCCGTGTCCCCTGCTGAACCACTGGGTAAACATTTTCACTAGCCTCGCCCACTCCAGCTATGCCCCAGCTCCTTGCCCCTTTAGAATCTTTCTGAGGTCAGAGACCCCATGTCCTGCCCCTAAGTCTCCTCGCCGCCTTGGTTTGGATCACTCCTACCCCATCTCCCAAGCAGACCCTGAGACAAGGGTTTGCGTAGCATTTGCTTATTTGGGAGGCGATCCTAGGAAGGGCTGCTGGTGGGGGAAGGACAGTGGAACTGGGAGAGAAGCCTGTGAGGAAAGGGAGCCAGCAGCAAGGGCAGCTCACCCCTAGGGAAGTGGATGCTTAATCCCATGGGAAGCTGTGAGAATTGCGGTAGAGTGGATGCCCTAGAGTTTCCCAGCCTAATGGTGGCAGTTGGGGCACTTTCCCATGAACTCCCTGTCCATCGCTCTCTGAGGGATGCATTAGGGGGCTTTACCTCTTCTCCACTCCTTGCCCTGCACGTGGGCTGCGCATGCTCCCAAGGCCAGGAAAGAGGCCCTGGCAGTGTCCCAGTGTTTGAAGGGCACAGGTGCCTCTGGGTGTGGAGATGAGCAGCCAGGGGTCGTGGGCAGGCATCACAAGGGAAGAGGCATGTGAGCTGTCCAGCTTTGGTGGGGAAATGAAAGAGTGAAGAGGAACAGCCCTGGTTCCCACCCTCAGCCTTTCAAAGGTTCAGTGAAGTGGGATCAGCACCTTCGAGGGCATCCATCCGAATGAATGATTGACTTTACCCCAGAACCCATATCCACATACCCCTGAAAGGTTCCCCTGAATGCTTCAGCCTGTCGGGCGTGGCAAGTAGAAGCTCCTGGGCCGTCCAAAGACCCAGACATCCAGGAGTTCATGTGAACACGATCTTCCTTTTGCATTCACCCTCCCCACCTAGGTCACAAGGACACTGATGATCACCTATGTCCCCAAAGAAATCCAAGACCCAGAAATCATCATTAAGCATTTTCAGTAAGTGGGTTTGGGTGGGCTGAGCATGCACTGCCTCCTGCTAGTAACCCTGCCTGCGTGCTCCTGTGGGTGGTGAGCCAGTTCAGGAGGGTGGGGTGAGAGATACCCCAGGTGGTCGCTCACCCTGGACTGGGCTGAGGGTCAGCCTTTCAGAATGAGGGGGCCCTGGGTCCAGAGCAGGCCTTCTGAGGTCAGAGATTCCATGCATGGTGTGGGTGTTGGGGGGTGGGGGAGCTAATTTTCCTTTCCCTCATTGCTCCAACTACAAGCCCAGGGAGTCCTGGACCACAGTTATCTAAAGCAGATCATCTTGAGACGTCTTTTGTGACCCAAATTCCCAGCCCCAGGAGCTCATTATCTCTCCATGAGGAGCAGTTTCCAGCTGTGCCGCTTGGCCCTGTTCTGGGTCATCTGGGAAGGATGTAGCAAATCTCAGATTACCAGGGATCAACCCTGAAGTTTGGCTTTAGGAGCAAGAGCTGGATTCTCTGCCCAAGAACCAAGAACCACACAGGCAGCTAAGCCACCCAGCCGTGTGGGCTGAGGCTCTGGGCACGGGCTAGGGTGGCACATTCCCAGCCCCACAGCTGATTCAGCATCCATGTTTGTGGCTGCAGTGAGGCCTATCCAGGGTGTGCAGTGACCAGAGTCCACTTCTGCTACGACGTCAGGACCCTGATTGACTTGGACGATCAGAGGTGAGGCTGCAGCAGTGCCTGTCTGGGTCTGGGGTGGGGATAGAAGAGGAGGATGTGGCTCTGCTGGCCCCACCCCCCATACCCCTGACCACAAGATCCCTCCCCGCCCCTCCCCATTACTCCCCTGTGGACAGGCGCCATGCCATGCGGGGCCGGCTCTACTACACGGCCAAGGCCAAGAAGTACGGGAAGGTGATGATCAAAACCCACCCCTGCTCCCGCCTGTGCTTCTGCAAGTGCTGGACCTGCTTCAAAGAGGCAAGTGACAAAGGTGTCCTGGGACACAGCAAAGGAGGGGCTGGGGCACTGGGCACTGGGTCTCCAGGCTCTGTCTAGGGCTCAGGCAGTGTCCCTCACCTGCACCCTTAGACCCCAGGACCCATTCAGCCTGCTCCAACGCTGCAGCACCTTCCTCCGTTCCTTCCCGCCCATCCTGCCTCCTTGAGAATATAGAGGAGCTGAAGCCTTTCTGGGCTACCGCGAGAGCGATCCGGGGAGGCTTTCTCTGGCCCACTTCTGGTCTTGGATGGGAGGACCAGAGAGAATATAGTAGGTTGCTATAGCCTGCCAGGCCTCAGGCTTTCACAGAGATAGGACAGGAACACGTGAAGGCAGTGGGCTCCATCTTATCACCCACCCACTGTGGCTAGAAGGCAGCCTCAAGACTCAAATATCTGCCTCAGGGAAGCCCAGAATTCTAGCCAGTCCAGAAAAAGAATCATCCCCCTTTCCTGAAAATGCTGCAAACCCATCTTCCTGCTCCTCTTGAGTCTACCCTAAGTCCTAAAGCATCTGATTACCCCAGCTATGCCTCACTTTCCCCAGCTCTAAGAGCAGGTAGCTAATTTCAGAGTCATAGCCTCTTCCTGTTCTAGAGTTGCAATCTTGGAGCCCACCTGGGGTCCTTAGCTCTTTGCCAAGCTTCAAAGGGAGCTGGGGATGGAAATGAGGCCTCAGGCCCACCACCTCCTGGGCTACTGAGTAGAGAGAGGCCTCATGTCCAGGCAAGGCCTTCCTGGAGCTCTGGCCTCTCCAGCTTTGAGGGCCATATCTCACCCCAGGTAGATGCAGAGCAATATTACAGTGAGCTGGAAGAGCAACTGACTGATGAGTTCAATGCCGAGTTCAACCGTGTTCAGCTGAAACGTCTGGACCTGATCTTTGTCACCTTCCAGGATGCCAGGATGACAAAGCGGTGAGTGTCGGGGCTGGCAGCTTGCTATGCCCAGCCCAGCCCCAAGAATAGGCCTCTGCTTCTCTGAAACCATCCTCCTTTACCCTCATTTCAGCCAAGGGAAGGAGGAGAGAACCTCCCTCTGGTTTGCACTATCCTGGCCTCCTCTCAACCCCTCCATGCTCCTCACAGGCAGCCGCCATCTTGCTTTCCAGAGCATGGCCACATCCATTTTCCCCCAGCTGCCAGGCTCAGCTTGTCTCCAGAGATGCCCAGGCCCTGAGCTCCTCATTCCCATATGTCCTTGCTTCAGCACAGAAGTGGTCAGGGTAGCCTGTGAACTCTTGGTTCCTCTTCGGGAACAAGAATGATAGCCATTTTCTCCCTCATGACACATCACCCCTCTCCTCACCACAAATGACAGAGTCAGAATATAGAAGCTCAGCTGGCTGTGTCTCCTCTTGTGCTGCAGGTCTCCCCTTATTCATAGTCTTACAGCCTCCTCTCTCCTCTGCCCCAACCTCTGCAGCCCCACATGGATCAGGTTCACTCTGGAATGTTCTAAAAGTATCCTTAGATCCTTAGGACTGGGTCAAACAGATGACAGCCCCAGAATCAGTCTCTTGAGGATTGTCGGGGCCCACCTCTCTCTGGGGAAGTCTGATCATGCACAACACTTTGTCCTTGCCCACCCCAACCCTACAAAGGAACAGTGGGACAGCCTAGAATTTAGTCACAAATAATTGTGTGCAATTTTGCACATCACTTACACTCTCAAATTTCATATCTTTCAAATTTGATTACATATGTCTTCCCTGTCCACCTCTCAGAGGGTTAAGAAAGATATATGTTCTATTCTGTGTGTGTGCTATATAAAACAATACACCTGCATAAGTCAATACTGTTTATTTTCTGAGACACTGTCACTCAGTAAAGAGGATCTGAGGTTTAATTACAGCAGAAGCATGAATGAAAAAAAACACAAAGATGGAGCTCTAATACCAGCACCTGCCCCTCTTTGGTTCTGTCTGCAGGCACCTCAATTTAGTAATTGGTGCAATTGGGAGTATATTAATTGCCAACTAGCACAGCATCGGGTACACAGAAAGAACTCAATAATTGGTATTGATATTAAGATGAGGCTGAAATTAGTACCTCCCCCGTCAACCTCAGAGAAAGAGCATGTCATTGCACTGTCACTGCTGTTAAGAGGCCCAGATATTAACTGAGAACTGTGTGGTTCCCTCCCTTTCTGGACAGTCACTCCCTCTAATGTCCTTTTCCTCCAGCAACTAAGCCTTAGGAACTACCCACCTCTAAGGCCCTGGGAGACCTATCTAAGGCTTCAAGAATCCCCAGGAAGTAGATGAGCGCCCACCTGTGGGACCCTGGCATGACATCCCCACAAGCCCGTCAGCCTCACCCCCAGACTCCTGTCTCCTTCCCCCATCTTCACAGCATCCTGGACGATTACAAGTACATCCAGTGTGGTGCGTCCCCCCAACAGTCCTCAGTGACCACCATCGTCAAATCCTACCGCTGGAGGGTCGCCTTTGCCCCACACCCCAAAGACATTATTTGGTAAGCCCCCTCTGTCCATTCCCTCTCCTTTGAGCTCCTCTGAGACTGAAGAAGGCAACAGGATGTGAAAAGGAATCGAGACCTCTCGTCCCACTTTGTTGCCCACTTACAGTCCCCACTGGGCTGGGCCATGTCCTCGTCTGAGCACCACAGCCTCTGCCTACTCCCAAGCCCACCCCACCACAAGTGTGAAAGGCACCAACCCTTGGGGAAAAGGTTTTTCCTGCAGAAAGAACTCAGATCTATTTTTTGGCTTACGCATGGGATATATTCAGAGCATTTACAAATGGCGTGATTGAGGGCAAGGTCCAGGGCCAGTTGCATGCCGGTCTGGGCCCTTGGGACTGCATTAGACCAGGGCAGCCTGAGTCCACAGCTGGCATGCAGGAAGCAGCTTGTGGGCTCTGTCTAAGGACCCACCTGGGGTCCTAAGTCGTCTCCTTCCTCCATCCCTCCCCAGGAAACACCTGTCTGTTCGCCGCTTCCATTGGTGGGTCCGCTTTATCGCGATCAACACTTTCCTCTTCATCCTGTTCTTCTTCCTCACCACACCTGCCATCATCATCAACACCATCGACATGTACAACGTCACCCGCTCCCTCGAGAAGCTGCAGGTGACTCCTCTGCTCAGGCCAGGCGTGGGGGCCCCAGGGAGGTGAAGGAAGAACTCAGGCGAGGATGGGGTGAGGGGCCCATGGGGACACAACTCTAGAGCCTATGTACCGCCAACATGGTGGAGATGACAGCAGTGTAAATGGTGGCATGGAGTTTCTTTTTTTTTTGAAAGGGATGAATGCAGGTGGCTGCCCACCTTAGGGACTGGGACTGGAGAATAAAGGGAGAGTGGGGGAGCTGCAGGCAGGTTCTGGAGTGAGTTTTGGGGCTTGGGTGGTCCGGTCAAACGTGGGTTCAGAGGGCTTCTTTAAATCAGGCCACCCCAGGCCCTCTAGTGGTACAGAAGGTGCAGCAGAGGGTGTGGCAAGTGTGACAGCTCTGTTCTCCCCCTGTTCTCTAGAGCTGAAGTCCTTGGTTTCAGGGATGGGGTTGAGGGTGGGGCAGAGTGAGGTAAGTTTCAACACAGCCTTCTGAGAGAAGCAGGACCCCAGATCTGTCTCCACGTCCCTCATTTCTAGACACACCCACTCCACGGTGGGTGTGCTGGGCCCTGCAGGAGCCATTCCTGGAGTCAGAAGATGCTTCATACTGACAGGGCGGTTCGGAGGAACTGAACTGGCCCATTCCAAGTTCTATAGCCTCAGGCTGTTATCATGGTCCTAGAGGGCTTCTTTCCATAGTATCCCCATCCCTCTTCTATCAGCATGCACATGACACATGCTTGTACACACACACACACACACACACACACACACACACAGACCTCCTGCTTACTTTTGCTCTCCTTTGTCATCTTCACAATAAACTCCAGGTAGGAGCACCTTGGCAATCCCTGGGGATTCTTTTTTCATATCCTTCCCAGCTTTTTACTTATCACAAAACATCACATTAAAGATAGTATCATCTCCCTGAGGTATGAGGCATGAATGACAGCAGATGGCTCTGGCCTTAGCGTGAAGTCACTAGGGGTAGCCCAGGTTGCCCCTCCAGGGACCTCAGCATAGAAAGTCTATGCCCCTTGGGGATGCCACTTGACCTTGGGGGTGTCAGCCTCTTCCTATCCCCAGCTAGGCAGACCCTGGTCAGGAAGACAGGTGAGAAATATCAAGCCCACTGTGCAGACTCAGGGAAACCAGGCCTGCTCTGGAACTCAGCTTGAGGAGGAGGCCAGGAGTGTGGGAGAAGGCAGGGGTGGCCTACAAGGTGAAGGGGCTTTCTTGCATTGATGTCTCTCTGTCCTCCTCTGCTCCGCCCTTACAGAGCCCAGTAATAACCCAGTTCTTCCCCTCCCTGATGCTCTGGGCCTTTACAGTGACCATGCCTCTGATTGTCTACCTCTCTGCCTTCCTCGAAGCGCACTGGACCAGGTAAGCTAGGACCTCCTTTCCTAGGCCTGCTCTTCTCCCCAGTTCTTCCCCATGCCACCTCCATCCACCTGCTGTGCAGATCCTCCCATCTGGCCTATGGAATGGAAATTGATACCCGAAACCATCCTAAAAGAGGGGACTGGGTTGTCTCCGGGCCTCTGCCTTCAGGGATGCTGAGACAGGACTACCATTTAAAGGATATGGGGCCAAAGCCAGTCCTCCTTGGGCTGCTCCCTCAGCCTCCAGCCATGTACGGAGGGGATGGAGCTGTGGGCAGAGATACAGGCAGAGGGCGCAGGATGAGAGGGAGAAAGCAGGGTTTACATGGAGAATGTGGGGAAGGCTGCTATGGCAAGGAGCCCATGAACTCCATCTGACTGGAGGCCCATGTAGCCCACACAGTGCCCACATTTTAAATTCCCATTTGTTAGCCCTAATAATCCTATGGTGGCTAATTGGATAGAAAGTATTTGTTATATCCTGGGGCAGGTGGACCTGCTTTGGCCTGAAGGACAACAGTTATGTCCTACCATACTACCGGGCAGTAAGCCAAGAGGTTTGTCCTAACAAATCCTTCCCGGTCTTTCCTCTGGCCCAAACAGGACTTTTGTTGATTACTGAAACTCTAAAGGGGTCCTGAGTATCATTGGTAACGTCCTTTTCACAGATATCGAGTACATGACACATGTGCCTCCCCTTCCTGTGCCCAGGGCAGACATCACTGCTTAACCATGCTATTCTTTCCTGCTGCTCCCGGTCATAGCCTCACCGGGCTCCATGGAGGTGTCACTGGGGTGTGCTCTTAAACCAATTTTCTAGGCCAGGTAGCTGTCTCTCTCTTTCTCTTCATCCTGAAGTTAGGCCTTGGTTCTCATCACATCTCACTCACTGAACAAATCTCTCTCTTTGTTTCCTTCTAGATCAAGTCAGAATCTTATCATAGTGTACAAGTGCTACATCTTTCTGGTGTTCATGGTGACCATTCTGCCCTCTATGGGACTGACCAGGTACCGCACCTCTAATTATCCCTCCTCTCAGCCAGGCTCACCCTAGAGCTGGAACCTCCTCTGTAGGCCGACCTGTGATTGCTGCAAACCCATTCCTCAAATGACAATCCAGGGCCTGTCACGAGCCTAACATGTCCTAGGTGTCATGTGAACTCTAAGGTGTCAGCCATGACCTCTGCCCTCAAAGAGCTTATCATTGAGCTGGGAAGACAAGCCGTCCCTACCAGCTCACTGGCAGCCCACGTTGGGGAAAACGCAGCCAATGTGCAGTAGAAACTCAGAAGAGGGAGAGGACATTGTAGGAGAAATGGCTTGGCGAAACTTTGCTGAAGGAAGTGGCCTTGAGCTGAAAAGCCCAAGGGTTAGGGGCAGGGGTGACCCAGCATTAAGAAGGAAGAGAGGCTGTGTGGGTGGGCTGGTCAGCTGAAATATTAGGATGCAAGAGTCTTTGGGGATTGGGCAAGGGTGGATGGAAGGAGCGAAGACAGTCCAAGAGGAATTGAACCCCAGGCCTTAGCTCATAGTTGCTTAACAAAAGGGTTGGCCTTGCTCTTGCTTCTAGTTTGGATGTCCTTTTCCGCTGGCTCTTTGACATCTACTATCTGGAGCAGGCATCCATCAAATTTGAGTGAGTACTCGAGGGCATGTTCCAGGTGTACCCTCAGTGTACACTGGGGCTGCTGTGGGTTCACTCCAAGTGGATACATATGTCCTTTATTTGCTCACACAAGTAGAGATGAGGGCATGCAAACATTCTCCTTAGGCAGCCTCTTAACCTTTCCTGTGGCGTAGACCCCTTTGGCCACCTGGTAAAGCCCAGGGACGCCTTCCCTGAAGTGTTTGAAATGATTATAGGTTTACAGGAAATTGCCCCCCAACAGTGTCCTGTGTAACCTTCATCCAGTTTCCCCCACTGATAACATCTGGCATAACTACAGTACAATATCATAACCAGGAAATTGACATTGAAACGATCCACAGAGCTCGTTCAGATTTCACCAATTTTACATATACTCTGAGTAGATATCTTTAAATGCACAAAATACCTGCATTACAAAGAATACCAGTTATACTGAAATATAGTTATCAAATATTTTAAAAATCGAATTTGTAACACAATCTTTGTAACACATTTAACAACAGGACAAATCATTTTACATATAGGCAAGTTAGAGTTACATTTTATTGTTTCAAAGGCATCACTTTGAAAGCTGATGTTACTTAGCTGAAAGAAGAATATTATACTGGGGTAGGGAAGATCTTTTAACAAGGCAGCATGTAGGTCGTATTGGACCTCCAACCAATTACAATTTTTTTGTTTTTGTTTTTAGGGGTATAAATGTTGAAAATACTAATTTTCAAGGATATGATGTTGCAAATGACACCCAAGTTTCCGTAGCTTGCTCTATAGAGTGAGGATCAGAATTCTCCAAGTTTTCTGTAGTTCCTGCAAACTATCATTGTAATAAGCTGTTGTTTTTTCCCAAAATGAATGAGTTCATTTTTGGCTATTCAATATCTTGAATACAGTTTATATATGAGAAAGAAAACCATTGTGAGTCCATGACTCAGCTCTGATGCCATTAAGAAAAAATATCTTTTGAAGGAGTTCTGAAATATGTCCAGGGCTCTCAGGTTACTCTTTTCAAGGAAGTTGACAGAATTCTGTAGATGGGGACTCTGGAAATCAAGAGATGCCTGGGTCACCCATGTGAGAAAGGCAGCTTGGCCATTAGGTGACTGAATGACTCCTAGTTAAAGCTGGGCAGTTCCATCACATACACATCTGCAGAGAGGAAATTTTCAGTCCTGTGTAGTTTAGCAGCATGTCTGATGACTAGCATCATTTTGAAGTTGTGATGAGCACAAATGATATTGTAAAGTGTCAGCAATGACTGCAATGTGAAATGAAAATACCTGATTTCAGTGGGGACAAACCCACTGCCATGGCTGACTTTGCTGTGGTTTTTTTTTGCCCACATTCTTAATGGAAGGAAATGCTAAATTGCACTTAGAGGTTAGTGAACATAAAGATGTAATTTTTTCCCCATTCAAGGTCACAGACCTCCCCCCCACCCCAATTCTACTCATGGACTCTCTAGGGTCTGTGGGTCCAGGTCAAACAGCCTGCTTTAGATCAAGCCAGTACATGCATCTCCTAACACATCCACACCTTATGTAGACCATCCCCATCCCTGCTCTGAAGGGCCCTTGTTAACTTTAATTGGGCTGGGAGCACAGATTATGAAATGTATTCTCACCATCTCTACCTCCACGCCTCCCCCTCTCCACTCCATCCCTGCTCCCTTGGCACTTTTCTGCATTCTCTCTCCTCCTCCCTCCCAAACCTTTGCCCTTTTCCTCCTTGTCTTCTGCTGCTGTCTTCCACTCTCCCCCATGCCCAGGTGTGTGTTCCTGCCAGACAATGGCGCCTTCTTCGTCAACTACGTGATCACCGCAGCTTTGCTTGGCACAGGCATGGACCTGCTGCGCCTGGGGTCACTCTGCCTGTACAGCACCCGCCTCTTTTTCTCCAGGTCGGAGCCAGAGAGAGTCCACATCCGTAAGGTGAGGGTCAGGCCCTTCTCTAAGCACAGCCCTCAGAGTTCCACTTGGGAGGGTGCCAGGAAGGGGGCCTGCTGGAAGCACCAGGCGTGGGAGGCATGGTGAGGTGAGGTAGGTGCTTCTTGGACTTCTTGGAAGGCAGGCTGCTTCCAGGTCTGAGCTGCCGACCAGCTCCCAGAGGACAGATAAGGAGCCACAGAAGCAGCCAAGCCCAGGGGACCTGGCCACCTTAGGGTGACTCCTGCCTTCTGCCCCAGGACCAGGCCATAGACTTCCAGTACGGGCGAGAGTACGCATGGATGATGAACGTCTTCAGTGTGGTGGTGGCATACAGCATCACCTGCCCTATCATTGTCCCCTTTGGTGAGTTATCCCTAAGGCACAACCAGGGCTTCACATCCTCAGACGGGGAGGAGGAGTTGAGCCCCACAACATCAGACCACCTCCTGGAGCGGGAGGAAACCGGGGAGAGCCTGTTGGCAGGCCAGGCGGTGTCAGGGCCAGGGCCAGGTCAGGGGGCTGAGGCTGCACGGCTGCTTACACAGGATGTTTGTTGAGTGAATGCATGAGTGAATGACTCTTTACCAAACTGACAGAATAGGGGGCCTTAAGGGAAGATGGCTGTCCCAAAGGCCGGCACCCAGCCTGTCCTTGGCCCTGTTGCTCCGATCTGACAGACCCTGAATTTCACTTTTCAGTCCTTTGGGGGACCTGGGACAGCACAGGCCCCAGCTGGGGAGCAGCCACTGAGTGCGCCTCTCTCTTCTGTCCCCCAGGACTGCTGTACCTGTGCATGAAGCACATCACAGACCGCTATAACATGTACTACTCCTATGCACCGACCAAACTCAATGGGCAGATCCACATGGCCGCTGTCAAACAGGCCATCTTCGCGCCGCTGCTGGGTCTGTTCTGGATGCTGTTCTTCTCCATCCTACGGTTAGGTAGGCAGCGGCCTGCTGGCCCTCCCACC